ACACACACACACACATACACACACACACACACACACACACACACACAGGCAGATCTTTAACGATATCAGGAGGAAAACAACAGTGAAAGAACAGGTAATGTAACTTAAAACTGGTGAGGACAGGTTCACAGAGAAAGACAAAGAGGTTTGTGAAGAACTCAACAAGAGGTTCCAGGAGGTCTTCACAATAGAACGAGGTGAAGTCCTTGAGCTAGGAGAGATGGCAGTTAATCAGGAGGCCTTGGAAGAATACGAAATTACCAGAGATGAGGTCAAGAGACACCTGCTGGATCTGGATGTGAGAAAGGCTGTTGGTCCAGACGGGATCTCGCCATGGGTACTGAAAGAGTGTGCAGGAGCACTTTGCTTGCCATTCTCCATAGTGTATAGTAGGTCACTGGAGACGGGAGACCTACCAGAAATATGGAAGACGGAGAATGTGGTCCCAGTATACAAAAAGGGCGACAGACAAGAGGCACTGAACTACAGGCCAGTGTCCTTAACTTGTATACCATGCAAGGTGATGGAGAAGATCGTGAGAAAAAACCTGGTAACACATCTGGAGAGAAGAGACTTCGTGGCAACCCATCAACATGGGTTCAGGGAGGGTAAATCTTGCCTTACAGGTTTAATAGAATTCTACGATCAGGTGACAAAGATTAAGCAAGAAAGAGAAGGCTGGTTAGTGTAGAAGACTAACAGGACAAGGCTCACCACCAGCTCTGAGGAAGGGAGAACTGTCAGCCTGCTAACAGGAGTCCTTATATCCACTACGGGCTCACCATAGCCCGTGCTACTTGGAACTTCTTGTTCCAGGTAGCGAATCTTTAACAACAACAACAACAAGAGGCGTCCCTAAGATGACAGTGTGCACTAGTGTGTTCACCTGTGGTTCCGGCGAGTGAGAGACACAGGTGTTTGTGTATGTGACATATTTGTTCTCTTCTAAGTGGCAATTGTCTTGTTTAATGGGGCTGTTGTGTCGAGTGGTTGGCGAGTTTATCTTGGCTTCAGTATATAAACTGTTTGTAATTTGTTCAAACCTGTTTGTGTAACCTTCTTGTCCTGCCTCCCTCTCGCCTTGACTTCTGCTGCTCATCTTTGTCCTTCTCTCTCTCCCTCATTCCTCTCCCTCTCCCTCATTCCTCTCCCTCTCCCTCATTCCTCTCCCTCTCCCTCATTCCTCTCCCTCTCCCTCATTCCTCTCCCTCTCCCTCATTCCTCTCCCTCTCCCTCTCCCTCATTCCTCTCTCCCTCTCCCTCACACCTGGTGTAAACAAACTCACTCCTAGGCGTCTCTCGGCTAACAACCTGCTCTCTCTCCCTCCTTGGGAGGAGGGGGGAGCCCCCCCCCCCTCGCCCCCTCCTGGGGGGGGGAGGTCTAGGCAGGAGGTGTAACAGGTGGTCCTGAAGAAGTGTGGCTTTACAGGTAGGAACACTGCGTCTGAGGCGGGTGTCACGGCACCTCACACCTGGGGTGCCACACCACCTGACACCTGGGGTGCCACACCACCTGACACCTGGGGTGCCACACCACCTGACACCTGGGGTGCCACACCACCTGACACCTGGGGTGCCACACCACCTGACACCTGGGGTGCCACACCACCTGACACCTGGGGTGCCACACCACCTGACACCTGGGGTGCCACACCACCTGACACCTGGGGTGCCACACCACCTGACACCTGGGGTGCCACACCACCTGACACCTGGGGTGCCACACCACCTGACACCTGGGGTGCCACACCACCTGACACCTGGGGTGCCACACCACCTGACACCTGGGGTGCCACACCACCTGACACCTGGGGTGCCACACCACCTGACACCTGGGGTGCCACACCACCTGACACCTGGGGTGCCACACCACCTGACCTGGGGTGCCACACCACCTGACACCTGGGGTGCCACACCACCTGACACCTGGGGTGCCACACCACCTGACACCTGGGGTGCCGCGGGTGTTACGCCACCTGACACCTGGGGTGCCGCGGGTGTCGCGCCACCTGACACCTGGGGTGCCGCGGGTGTCACGCCACCTGACACCTGGGGTGCCACAGGTGTCACGTGGGGTGCCACAGGTGTCATCAGTGAACTAGAGAACATACAGACAACACACACCTCACACATGGAAACGATTAAACATCTCAATTATTGGGACCGTCTCAAAGTTCTCAAAATGTTCTCTCTCTCTGGAGAGATGTCTTCTTCCTCCCCTAATGTCTTGGCGCTTTCCCTTGATAATTTCCCTTCCCCTTCCTCCTCCCCTCACTCTGTCGTTGCTATGATCACCCTACCCTTCCTTCCCTTACAAGTCAGGAAACACATTTTGAAACTCAGGATAATAAGAGGGAACATTCACAGAAAATGACAGGAAAGTGTGTGAGGAACTCAACTGGAGATTCCCAATCTTCAGGCAGGTATAGGTAAGTGCCTGAACTGTGCAGGCGATGAGTCACAATAACGTGGCTAAAGTATGTAGACCAGACCACACACTAGAAGGTGAAGGGACGACGACGTTTCGGTCCGTCCTGGACCATTCTCAAGACAATCGACTTGAGAATGGTCCAGGACGGACCGAAACGTCGTCGTCCCTTCACCTTCTAGTGTGTGGTCTGGTCAACTGCCTGAGCTGTGTATAAAGGTGCCAAACTTAAGTTGCCTTTTGGAGTTTGATAATGCCAGAGGTGAAGTAAGGAGGCACCTTCTGGAACGGAACATGTTGGGACATCTACCCGTGATTAATTTATGATTATTTAGAATTGAGTGTATTAAATTGTATTTGTTACTTGTTTATAACTTCGGAGTGGATTGTATTTTAAGATTTATTATTTCCAGTAAACTTTCCTTCACACAATTGGCGGTGGGGGGCGGGGGGGGGGGGGTTGTAAATCATTTATCACAACGTAATGAAATAGTTGATATCATTTACTAAACATAAGAACATAAGAACAAAGGTAACTGCAGAGGGCCTATTGGCCCATACGAGGCAGCTCCTATCTATAACCACCCAATCCCACTCATATACTTGTCCAACCCGCGCTTGAAACAATTGAGGGACCCCACCTCCACCACGTTACGCGGTAATTGGTTCCAGGAATCAACAACCCTGTTACTGAACCAGTATTTACCCAAGTCTGTCCTAAATCGAAACTTATCCAATTCAAACTGTAATTATGTATACAGTTAGTAGTACTGTCACACATGTGTTAGTTATAATATAAGACAACGTGAGCGGTTTGGGTAGTGTTGGTCGGTCATCTGACATGAGGACACGTGTACTCACGTGTACTGGACACGTGTACTCACGTGTACTGGACACGTGTACTCACGTGTACTGACGTGTACTGGACACGTGTACTGGACACGTATCAGTCGCGCCCGCGTGGCTCCTGGCCTGTACCAGCTCAGTACCTGTTCCGTACAGTCACAGTTGACCTGTCAACTAATTACACCGTACAAACTGACCATAACGGCTGAAGCACAGATGTTACGCATGAAATTTAGGATAATAAAGAACTAACCCCTATAACCCTCTCCCGTGGTGTTTTCCAACCAGCTAACCTGTCTGTAAGTCACGTGCCGTAATAACCAACAGATAAATGGGGTCAGTCTGATAGCACTTCCCTCTGGGTCACCAAGTCTCGGCAACAAATGAGAACTATTTTGAGTCGCACTCCGTTCCTTGAACCGGATTCACAAAGCTGTTACGCAGGCACTTACGAAGGTGTCTATCTTTTCTCAACATTTGGCGGACAGGACCACCAGACAGGACCGCCAGACAGGACCACTAGACAGGACCACTAGACAGGACCACCAGACAGGACCACCGGACAGGACCACCAGACAGGACCACTAGACAGGACCACCAGACAGGACCACCAGACAGGACCACCAGACAGGACCACCGGACAGGACCACCAGACAGGACCACCGGACAGGACCACCAGACAGGACCACCGGACAGGACCACCAGACAGGACCACCAGACAGGACCACCGGACAGGCCCACCAGACAGGACCACCAGACAGGACCACCTGACAGGACCACCAAACAGGACCACCGGACAGGACCACCAAACAGGACCACCGGACAGGACCACCTGACAGGACCACCAAACAGGACCACCAGACAGGACCACCAGACAGGACCACCAGACAGGACCACCAGACAGGACCACCAGACAGGACCACCGGACAGGACCACCAGACAGGACCACCAGACAGGACCACCGGACAGGCCCACCAGACAGGCCCACCAGACAGGCCCACCAGACAGGACCACCAGACAGGACCACCAGACAGGACCACCAGACAGGACCACCAGACAGGACCACCAGACAGGACCACCGGACAGGACCACTAAACAGGACCACTAGACAGGACCACCAGACAGAACCACCAGACAGGACCACTAGACAGGACCACCAGACAGAACCACCAGACAGGACCACCAGACAGGACCACCGGACAGGACCACCAGACAGAACCACCAGACAGGACCACCAGACAGGACCACCGGACAGGACCACCAGACAGAACCACCGGACAGGACCACTAAACAGGACCACCGGACAGAACCACCAGACAGGACCACCAGACAGGCCCACCAGACAGGACCACCAGACAGGACCACCAGACAGGACCACCAGACAGGACCACCAGACAGGACCACCAGACAGGACCACCAGACAGGACCACCAGACAGGACCACCAGACAGGACCACCGGACAGGACCACTAAACAGGACCACTAGACAGGACCATGTATCCGGTAAGAGAGGCGCCTCGACCACCACATGTTAATCCCTTTGATATAACAACACACTGCAAACAGCATCCCTAACTTGCCTCATGCCTCACTCCACCCTACCACCCCTCCCTGCCTCCGGAAGCCTCCAGAAGTCTCCGGAAGCCTCTGGAAACCTCAGAAAGCCTCTGAAAGCCTCTGGAAGTATTTGGAAACATCCGGAAGCCTCTGGAAACCTCAAAAAGCCTCTAGAAGTCTCTGGAAACCTCTGGAAGCCTCTGGAAGCATCCGAAAGTCTCTAGAAGCATCCGGAAGTCTCTGGAAGAATCCGGAAGCCTCTGGAAGTCTCCGGAAGCCTCTGGTAGTTTCTGGAAGTCTCTGGAAGCATCCGAGAGCCTCTGGAAGCCTCCGAAAGCCTCTGGAAGCATCCGGAAGCCTCTGGAAGTCTCCGGAAGCCTCTGGTAGTTTCTGGAAGTCTCTGGAAGCATCCGAGAGCCTCTGGAAGCATCCGGAAGCCTCTGGAAGTCTCCGGAAGCCTCTGGTAGTTTCTGGAAGTCTCTGGAAGCATCCGAGAGCCTCTGGAAGCCTCTGGAAGCCTCTGGAAGCATCCGGAAGCCTCTGGACACATCCGGAAACCTCTGGAAGCATCCGGAAGCCTCTGGACACATCCGGAAACCTCTGGAAGCATCCGGAAGCCTCTGGACACATCCGGAAACCTCTGGAAGCATCCGGAAGCCTCTGGACACATCCGGAAGCATCCGGAAGCCTCCAGAAGCTTCAGGAAGCCTCCGGAAGCGACCTGGGCCAGTCGTCATGTCGGGACAGTCAGAGTGTGACACACGGCTGGCCACAAGTCGTCCGCAGGGCCCTCAATATCCTCCCTCCTCAATTCTCAACAAATTACCTTAAGGTTGCCCCGTATCGGAACACCGATCACAACCGACCTCCAAACTCCACCAAGACAATTCCCTTTCAAAAAGAAGGCTTTTTGGCCACAATTTACACGCGATTTACAGTGGAAAAAAATCATAAATTCTTGATCAAAGTTCCCCGCTATTGGACCAGAGAGAATTAAGATATAGTCTAACTTGGCCTAGACTATATCTAAGCGTAGTTCTTTTGTTTGTGCTATAGTGAAAGGGCCTATATTATTATTATTATTATTATTATTATTATTAAGGAAATCACACTAACGTGATGTATCAATGAGAAAGTCGATTGGAGCAATGAAGGGATTCGAACCCTGGCTCTCGTATCCCAGCTGGGATTATCCTGCCCAAGTATCCCAGCTGGTTCTATCCTGTCCTCGTATCCCAGCTGGTTCTATCCTGTCCTCGTATCCCAGCTGGTTCTATCCTGTCCTCGTATCCCAGCTGGTTCTATCCTTTCCTCGTATCCCAGCTGGTTCTATCCTGTCCTCGTATCCCAGCTGGTCCTATCCTGTCCTCGTATCCCAGCTGGTCCTATCCTGTCCTCGTATCCCAGCTGGTTCTATCCTGTCCTCGTATCCCAGCTGGTCCTATCCTGTCCTCGTATCCCAGCTGGTCCTATCCTGTCCTCGTATCCCAGCTGGTTCTATCCTGCTCTCGTATCCCAGCTGGTCCTATCCTGTCCTCGTATCCCAGCTGGTTCTATCCTGTCCTCGTATCCCAGCTGGGCCTATCCTGCCCTCGTATCCCAGCTGGGCCTATCCTGCCCTCGTATCCCAGCTGGTCCTATCCTGTCCTCGTATCCCAGCTGGTTCTATCCTGTCCTCGTATCCCAGCTGGTTCTATCCTGTCCTCGTATCCCAGCTGGTCCTATCCTGTCCTCGTATCCCAGCTGGGCCTATCCTGTCCTCGTATCCCAGCTGGTTCTATCCTGCTCTCGTATCCCAGCTGGTCCTATCCTGTCCTCGTATCCCAGCTGGTTCTATCCTGTCCTCGTATCCCAGCTGGTCCTATCCTGTCCTCGTATCCCAGCTGGTTCTATCCTGTCCTCGTATCCCAGCTGGGCCTATCCTGCCCTCGTATCCCAGCTGGGCCTATCCTGCCCTCGTATCCCAGCTGGTCCTATCCTGTCCTCGTATCCCAGCTGGTTCTATCCTGTCCTCGTATCCCAGCTGGTCCTATCCTGTCCTCGTATCCCAGCTGGTCCTATCCTGTCCTCGTATCCCAGCTGGGCCTATCCTGTCCTCGTATCCCAGCTGGTTCTATCCTGCTCTCGTATCCCAGCTGGTCCTATCCTGTCCTCGTATCCCAGCTGGTTCTATCCTGTCCTCGTATCCCAGCTGGTCCTATCCTGTCCTCGTATCCCAGCTGGTTCTACCCTGCTCTCGTATCCCAGCTGGTCCTATCCTGTCCTCGTATCCCAGCTGGTCCTATCCTGTCCTCGTATCCCAGCTGGTCCTATCCTTCTCTCGTATCCCAGCTGGTCCTATCCTGTCCTCGTATCCCAGCTGGTCCTATCCTGTCCTCGTATCCCAGCTGGTCTTATCCTGTCCTCGTATCCCAGCTGGTCCTATCCTGTCCTCGTATCCCAGCTGGGCCTATCCTGCCCTCGTATCCCAGCTGGTCCTATCCTGCCCTCGTATCCCAACTGGAACACCACCCAGCTACCTGCTGGAACACCACCCAGCTACCTGCTGGAACACCACCCAGCTACCTGCTGGAACACCACCCAGCTACCTGCTGGAACACCACCCTGCTACCTGCTGGAACACCACCCAGCTGGAACACCACCCAGCTACCTGCTGGAACACCACCCAGCTACCTGCTGGAACACCACCCAGCTACCTGCTGGAACACCACCAAACACCACCCAGCTACCTGCTGGAACACCACCCAGCTACCTGCTGGAACACCACCCAGCTGGAACACCACCCTGCTACCCTGCACCACCCTACCTGCTGGAACACCAACCAGCTGGAACACCACCCAGCTACCTGCTGGAACACCACCCAGCTACCTGCTGGAACACCACCCAGCTACCTGCTGGAACACCACCCAGCTACCTGCTGGAACACCACCCAGCTACCTGCTGGAACACCACCCAGCTACCTGCTGGAACACCACCCAGCTACCTGCTGGAACACCACCCAGCTACCTGCTGGAACACCACCCAGCTACCTGCTGGAACACCAACCAGCTGGAACACCACCCAGCTACCTGCTGGAACACCACCCAGCTACCTGCTGGAACACCACCCTGCTACCTGCTGGAACACCACCCTGCTACCTGCTGGAACACCACCCTGCTACCTGCTGGAACACCAACCAGCTGGAACACCACCCAGCTACCTGCTGGAACACCACCCTGCTACCTGCTGGAACACCAACCAGCTACCTGCTGGAACACCACCCAGCTACCTGCTGGAACACCAACCAGCTGGAACACCACCCAGCTACCTGCTGGAACACCCAGCTACCTGCTGGAACACCACCCAGCTACCTGCTGGAACACCACCCTGCTACCTGCTGGAACACCACCCAGCTACCTGCTGGAACACCACCCAGCTACCTGCTGGAACACCACCCAGCTACCTGCTGGAACACCACCCTGCTACCTGCTGGAACACCACCCTGCTACCTGCTGGAACACCACTGGAACACCACCCAGCTACCTGCTGGAACACCACCCAGCTACCTGCTGGAACACCACCCAGCTGGAACCCACCCAGCTACCTGCTGGAACACCACCCAGCTACCTGCTGGAACACTACCTGCTGGAACACCACCCAGCTACCTGCTGGAACACCACCCTGCTACCTGCTGGAACACACCAGCTACCTGCTGGAACACCACCCTACCTGCTACCTGCTGGAACACCACCCAGCTACCTGCTGGAACACCACCCAGCTACCTGCTGGAACACCACCCAGCTACCTGCTGGAACACCACCCAGCTACCTGCTGGAACACCACCCAGCTACCTGCTGGAACACCACCCAGCTACCTGCTGGAACACCACCCTGCTACCTGCTGGAACACCACCCAGCTACCTGCTGGAACACCACCCTGCTACCTGCTGGAACACCAACCAGCTACCTGCTGGAACACCAACCTGCTACCTGCTGGAACACCACCCAGCTACCTGCTGGAACACCACCCTGCTACCTGCTGGAACACCACCCAGCTACCTGCTGGAACACCACCCAGCTACCTGCTGGAACACCACCCTGCTACCTGCTGGAACACCAACCAGCTACCTGCTGGAACACCACCCAGCTACCTGCTGGAACACCAACCAGCTGGAACACCACCCAGCTACCTGCTGGAACACCACCCAGCTACCTGCTGGAACACCACCCAGCTACCTGCTGGAACACCACCCTGCTACCTGCTGGAACACCACCCAGCTACCTGCTGGAACACCACCCAGCTACCTGCTGGAACACCACCCAGCTACCTGCTGGAACACCACCCAGCTACCTGCTGGAACACCACCCAGCTGGAACACCACCCTGCTACCTGCTGGAACACCACCCAGCTGGAACACCACCCTGCTACCTGCTGGAACACCACCCAGCTACCTGCTGGAACACCAACCAGCTGGAACACCAACCAGCTGGAACACCACCCAGCTACCTGCTGGAACACCAACCAGCTGGAACACCACCCAGCTACCTGCTGGAACACCACCCAGCTACCTGCTGGAACACCACCCTGCTACCTGCTGGAACACCACCCAGCTACCTGCTGGAACACCACCCTGCTACCTGCTGGAACACCACCCAGCTACCTGCTGGAACACCACCCAGCTACCTGCTGGAACACCACCCAGCTACCTGCTGGAACACCACCCAGCTGGAACACCACCCAGCTACCTGCTGGAACACCACCCAGCTACCTGCTGGAACACCACCCAGCTACCTGCTGGAACAGCAGACATCAGCAAGCAGGGCTCCTCACTCCACCTGCTCACACACCTAGCAGGAAACACACAATGTTTACTCCCCGCAGCCAAATAATATGACTATCAGCCTAACAGGTAGACGGGGTGCCAAGTTGCCAGGTGGCACAGCCTGGGTGCCAACGTCCTCGGAAGGCCGCCATACGCCAGTAAAGGTCACTGAGTGCCAGGGTTCCCCTCATACGGTGGTTGTGGGGTGGTGCCAGGTTCCTGCCAAGGTCGAGGTGTTGGGTGCCAGGTGTAAGGGGTGCCAACTGGGCCCCACGAGTGCCAGACCTCGAACTTGCCAGCTCTCGAAGGTGCCAGGCCTCGAGGGTGCCAGACTTCGAGTGTAAATGTTTGGGTTTTGATGCTGGCACTCTCTGGTGCGGTGTCGGGCCAGAGGATGCACTGGTTCCGCCTCTCAGACACCTTGTTGATCTACAGTTTAGATTATAGCTATATAATGGGGGTAGAAAGGGTAATGGGGGAGAAATGATATAATTTGTGGAGGGATATGAAGATTGTTCTCACTGTGAGTCTCTAGTGATTAGTCTAAACGTTTTTTAACTATCTGTTACACCTTCCGACTGTCCGGCCAACAATACATCCGGCCGTGTCTTTATCCGGACGTTCATATCCGGCTCTGACATCCGTCAGAACGTGGCACCGTCACCTGTCATGCATATGTCTGTCTGTCATGGCATAAGTTTGTTTGTCAGTACATGCCAACGCCAATCATTGTCTGTCAGTATACCGTCCCCTAGTGTGCCTGTCCATCCCTCGCTGGACAGTACAATTTGAAGTGCACAACAGTTGGTCAGTATGTCAACATTTTGCCTCCTTCATATTCTCTCCCTCAATCCGTTAGACTATGAGGGGAAGCAAAGGGTAGACTTTTCTCACTCCTCTTCCTGTTATACATCAGTGACCTGCCAGCATGATATT